CAAACATTTCTGCTTGACGAGAGACAAGCAAAAAACAATACAAAAACAAAAACACAAAAGCACACATGGAACACATCATACGGATGACAACAGTACCAGCATACAACAGAGCACGAACGCGCTACGCGCTAAAAGAAACAACTCCTTCCGAGATACATGGTTCCATCCTCATATCAGGGATGAACCGACAGACTGATCACCTCAGTGCGTGACTGAGATCATGCAGAGGACTTTCCTTGCTGGGGCTCTCCTGGAGGACGAAGACTGAGCCAATCTCCATCTTCATCGTCCGACAGCACTATGGGTTGGGGTTCGGCTGCTGGGGGTGTGGAGGAAATTGATCCAAGCAAATGCTGTTGGTGGATCCGTAAAAGAGCCTTGTCGAGGGTAACGATGTCGGGTCTAGGCCACAACACAGGCTGAGAGGATAGCACTGGTTCGGATGGCGTTAGACAAATGACTTGAGATGCGAATTTACGAGCCTCACGGTAAGCTTCCTTGACGACTCGCACTGCATCGTTGTCCAGAGTTCTAAACTCGGCAAGCATCTAGGCAATCATCATCCCGTGGGCGGTGACATACTGCACCAGGCGAGCGATTGCGGGCTCATCTCCTTGGCTAGCGGGAGAAGGCTGCATTCCTACTTTTGTCACAATGGGGTAAAAGCAGAAATCCCGCCTCGCTGCCATATGCGGGTATCTGGTTCGGAGGTGAAGCATAGCCTCCACAACAGCGGCCTGAATGGCTAAACCAGAGGTAGGCATAGCTCTACCCTGAGAAACCAACGGCTAGCCATCTGCTGCTAGGCTGATGCACACTCTTGCATCAAAGCGATGAAGGTGAGGGACGGGTGACGATTGGAACACCAGGTAATCGGGGCTAGCCTTACAGCCAAAGGCTTTGGTGAGCATCTCAGTAAGAAGGGGTGGAAAGCCGGGGTGGTTGATGGCACCGGTGCGGCTGTGAAACTTGGGAGCTTTAAAGGCGTCAGTCATGGCTGGAGTGCTACTAGCTAGGCTTCTCTACAGGGACATGGTTGACTGAGGGTGAGTGATATGGCGAGCGGAAAGGAGGCTTTTATAGGCAGCTATGCGGGACATGCCCGCATGGTGTGGCCTCTTTCCCTTAATGGCAAAGGGTGAGCGGTGCGGCTGACCAGAAAGGATATGGTTGCTATTCGCGCCACGGATAACTAGGCGGGGACATAGAGGTGAGGACGTGTCGGTCCCGACCGCGCCACCTGTTGATTAACAATGGCCATGCTGGATGCATGGATGGATCAAATCCCTTAGGGCCATTACTGGTTAATGGGAGCGGTGATCTAATGCTAGGATAACCTATGCCAGCCTGGTTGCTCTGATACCATGCCCTTTGGCACACTGATCCACATGGAGCAGGGGGCCATCACACGTCAGCCCAGGATAACACCTGACGCACGACAGGTCCATAATATAGCATTCCAGGTACAAGAATATTCATCAAATACATGTATATGAGATTATATCTTTGATGAATACAATTATCTAGCATAGCCCTAAGGCTATTAAATGACAGCGGAAGTCTGATTGAATGGCGGTGGAAGTCTTGGTTTGGCAGCATAACAGCTCTGGCTGGGCTCCACAACTCACAGGACTGGCAAGGTTATGGCCTAGCACGACAGATCAAGCGAACAATTCGAGTATGACCTACAAAACTGGCATGACACGCCAGGTCAGTACATTGAATGTACTTGCAAGACAACCAAATACATAGCATCCAACCAAGCACAAGACAAAGCGAGAACCGAGCGCATGCAACAGCCTATCTCATATCAATTACTAAACATGGCATGATAAAAATTCAACTAAGCATGAACAAAATCATAACATCTACTAACATGGCAACGTCATGGCATATCAAATCATGCTTCTAACATGACAAAGACAAAACATGGCATATCATCTCAACCATGGCATAATTCAACATGTCAATCAAAGCATGGCATGGCATGTCAATCAAACGTGAAGCACATTAGTGCCGGTTTGTATTTGAGCCGGTACTAATGGTACCATTAGTGCCGGTTCGAACGGATTTGCATTAATGCCGGTTCGTGGCACGAACCGGTACTAAAGGGGTGGTGGCAGGCTGACGTTAGGCCGGGGCCCCACGATCACCTTTAGTACCGGTTCGTGCCATGAACCGGTACTAAAGGGGTCTGACCTATAGTACCGGTTGGAGACACAAACCGGCACTATAGGGCAATTTTTAAACTTGAAAAAATCATAACTAAATCATCCTAGTTCAGAAAAATACATATAATATATCAAAATTTGCAGAACAAAAGGATTGATCCGTTGAAACAAGCAGTTTTCCGTTTCGACAATTTTTTAAAATCACAAAATTCCAAAGGGAAAATAGAGTTTTTGGGCGTTTTAGACGTTTTTTGGACGTTTTTAGCGTTTAGTGCTAGGGTTTAGATTTCAGCGTTTAGGGTTAGGTTTTATGGTCTAAACCCTTAGTTTTTACTGTTTAGCATAGAGTTTCCGACGTTTTAAGTCCCGGGTTTAGGGTTTAGGACAATTTTTGAAATGACAAATTGTAAAAGGAAAAAAAGATATGCTCTAATTTATGTTTTTTTGAATTTTGGTTAAATCTTGTCAAACCGGTCAAACAACTGATTCAAGAAATATAGAGTGTTACTAAATAATTACGCAATAATATTAGTGTTACTAAATAAGTATCTCAATTTTTTTGAATTTTGTTCAAATCTGGTCAAACTATGGTCAAACTGTGGTCAAACTATGGTCAAACTACTTATTCAAGAAATATTAGTGTTACTACATAATTATTGAAGAATATTAGTGTTACTAAATAATTATTTCAATTTTTTGAATTTTGGTCAAATCTGGTCAAACTATGGTCAAACTGTGGTCAAACTATGGTCAAACTTATTCAAGAAATATTAGCGTTAGTAAATAATTACTGTTTTTTTAGAATAATAGTTTCAAACTCAAACGGTGAAATGTGTGACTTCATGCTCAAGCTAAACTCCTGAGGGTTAATAGGATTGACATCTTACTATTGTCAGGAAAACATAAGTGCAGACTCGGAAACGAAGGAGAATAGAACCTGAAAGTTAAGCGTGCTCGGGCTGGAGTAGTGAGAGGGATGGGTGACTGGTCGGGAAGTTAGATGATTTGGAATGAGTGATCCACACTTGAGCAGTTAAGAGAGGTGATTAGAGACTAAATCATCAAATAATTCAGAAAAATTAAAAATAAAAAAAATCAAATTTTTTTTCCAAAATTTTCAAAAAAAATAATAAAAAAAAACCTTTAGTACCGGTTGGTAACACCAACCGGTACTAAAGGTCCCCCGTACCAGGGCGCGAGCTCACGCCACGTGGTGGCACTTTAGCGCCGATTCGTGCCGAACCGGTACTAAAGGGGGGGGGCTTTAGTGCCGAAACTTTAGTGCCAGTTCCATAACCGGCACTAAAGGCCCTTACAAACCGGTACTAATGGTCCATTTTCTACTAGTGTGGGTAGGAGAAGGATTGGAGTGAAAAGCAACTTGAGCAGTTAAGAGAGGTGATTAGAGACTAAATCATCAAATAATTCAGAAAAATTAAAAATAAAAAAAATCAAATTTTTTTTCCAAAATTTTCAAAAAAAAAATAAAAAAAAACCTTTAGTACCGGTTGGTAACACCAACCGGTACTAAAGGTCCCCCGTACCAGGGCGCGAGCTCACGCCACGTGGTGGCACTTTAGCGCCGATTCGTGCCGAACCGGTACTAAAGGGGGGGGGGCTTTAGTGCCGAAACTTTAGTGCCAGTTCCATAACCGGCACTAAAGGCCCTTACAAACCGGTACTAATGGTCCGTTTTCTACTAGTGTTGGTAGGAGAAGGATTGGAGTGAAAAGCAACTTGAAGAGGCTAGAAATCAAGATTCAAATGGTAGGAATAGAATCTCTTGATCTCAACATATGAGTAGGTGGTTCTCTCTCAGAAAATGAATGGTGGATGTTGTGTTCCGTTCTGATGGCTCTCTTTGAGAGTAGGTGGGTGGAGGGGTATAAATAGTCTTCACCCAAAATCCAACCGTTACACACTTTTGACCCAAATCGGTGAGATCGAATGTAAAACTCGGTGAGATTGATTAGTGTAAACGATATGAACGTTGGGCTTTTCAGTGGGACCGAAGTAGAACAACTCGTTGGGACTGCAACGCAATGGCTAGGACAGAACTCAGTCTCACGAAAACTTGGCAATGCCATCTCGGTGAGACCGAGATCCTTTTTGGTCTAGGGTTTGGCAGTGCCAATGGTAGCGGTCATCTCGGTGGGTCCGGATGGAAGATTTCGGTGGGACCATGATAGGGAATTAGGGTTTTGGACAGATGTGTTTTGAGAAAATGAATGAGGATTTTTGAAGCAATATCACTAAGCACTTGAGCAACAATCTCATCAACAATACCTCATCCCCTTTAATAGTATTGGCTTTTCTAAGTGACTCAATGTGATTTTGGATCACTAAACCAAAAATGTAGTGTCTTGGAGTAGCCAATTCTTGTCCTTAACATTTTGAGAGGTCCACATCCATTAGTCTTTGTCATGCCAATCGTTGTTTTTTATCTGAAATCTATTTGCAATGAATATTAGATCAATGATGTATATGTTTGTTAATTATCAAAACCATCCGGGGATTGGTTGCACTTTCAAAAAGCGATAAGAATTGTTGTCCATAAAGAAACTCAAGGAAGAAGGAAAACATACTGTGATTTCCACATCTTGACAAAACAATAAGGGTGGGCTGTAATCTGAACCATGATAGAAGTACAGGTAAACAATTATCGGAATTAAAGTCACAGATCGGTATTTACAGCTAACACATAGCGGCACAATTACAAAATAAACTGAAAAAATACCTAATGGAAGTAGTAAGAACGAAAGAAACAGGAGTGCTAACATAAAACATGAATTTTGCCAGCAATGTTTTGTGTAGAGTAGAAATCTTCTCTCAGGAATTGACAGTTCTGTTGCTTGAATTTTCATGCAGCTTTGGGTGACACCCAACGAGATGAAGTGCTTCTATTGAGGTTGGCAGACCACAACTAGGCAAGGACTGGAACTCTGTGCAGTATGATATACTCAGAACCTTGAGGGCTGTGAGTCTCCAAAAACTTACTGGGAAGGATGCTGCCGTCAGTTTGGGGCATTTCTCAATCACCAAACGTTTCAGTGAAACAAAAGTACCCAAGGAGACTATAGAAGAGAGCTGTGGACAGTTTGATATTTGCAACTCCGTGACGGTAGTACACAAATTATTTTTTGTTGGCACCAGAAGAGATGTCATGTTGGGCAGATCTATCATCTCAACTGAGTACAAAGAGGGCAGCACCTGAAGAAGACTTCCCAAATTCTGATCTGATATGTCAGAGTGGCACAGCTGAAGCTTTTGGAGAGACGTAAAGGTGTGCAGTCCCTCAGCAGAAACAAGCTGCTTGCAGCCAGCGTTTATGTTTAAAACCACAATAGATTCTAGATGGCTTTGATGGAATAGTCCCTTGCAAAGTACACTAGTTGTGGAAACACTCAGTGTGAGTATCTCTAATCTTGACGAAGAATATGGAGCAAGCCTCATATTGGATATCAACAATGTTCGCTCCACTGTAAGTTCAGAGACAGATGGGGGAAATGCAGGAACTTGAATCAACTTTGGGCAGTCTACAATCTCTAGCTTCTGCAGACAAGGAAATGGATCGGCCCTCACTTCAGACCACTCAACCAAGCTGGGAAAGTCATCAAACACAAGAACCTTCAGGGATGGAAATGACAAGTCAACTGTACCATAGAACTCATGTCCAATTCGTTTAACTGTGCACAGCTCCTTCATGTGTAATTGTTGGAGTGACGGCAGGAGCCCCAGTGGAGGTAGAACGCCCAAGCTCCTGCAATTAACAAGGTGCAAGGATTGCAGCTCCCTCAGCGCAGCATACTGTAACCAACTCGGAGCTGTTGTGCCAAGATACCTCACAATGTGAAGTTCCTTCAAGTTTTGATGTGGCTGTAGGTTTTCTAGTACTTCATAGTCAGTCACAGGGGTGAGAATTCTACTAGCTGAACTCCATTCCAGTCTCAGCGCCCTGAGATTCTCTTTTCTTTTCATGTCGGTCTTGGTGGCTTCATCCTTGCTCAAAACATTGTCAAGGCCTTTAATTTTTAGTTGGCCATGGAGACCGTTTATGCCATTCAGCTCCCGCAAGGCATGCCCTCCCTCCTTTTTAACACAGAACTCAACAGATCCCTGCAGATTAATAAGCTGACCAATGCCTGGCACCTGTGCAATGTACTTCATGTCGATTCCAAGGTGCCGCAACTTTACAAGCCTACTTATTCCTGCTGGAAGCTTATCAAGGGAACACCTGTCTGTAAAGTGCAACGTTTGTAGCTGGAGCAGCTTGCTTGTCAACTCTGGAAGACTCCGAATGGTCCGACACAAGGACAGGTAACGGAGATGGATTAAGCAGGAAATGGATCTTGGCAATTCAGTGTAGTCAGAGTGGCTAATATCAAGCACCCGCAAAGTCTTGAGCTTTGCTAAGAAGTCTCCTTGAAGACAATATGAGGAGAAAGAACGAGTTCTCAGAACTAACAAGGTGCGCAGCTTTTTCGGTAGCATGTTGATGGCAGCATTGATGTCTTGTACGCCATCCGTAGTGACCGAGATATGGCGCACCGTTGAGGGGATAGAACGGGTCATGCCAGGCTCAATATGAAAGCAATCATTGGTTGAAACTGACACTGCAAGATCATGGATCAGGTCATGCATGATACAGTGTGTGCGAGGGCCCTGCCTAAGAGTTTGGAAGAATGACCGAGATAGGAGAGCATTGAAATAATCTGTGCCCAGATCCTCCATCCTTTTACCAGTGTCGGTTTGGGACTGTATAAAACCATTGGCCATCCAAAGGCGGATCATGGTTCTTTGGTCAAACTTCCAGTTCCTGGGAAATATGCTGCAGAATGCAAAGCATTGCTTAAGTCGTCCTGGCAGGTAACTGTAGCTCAAACGCAGCGAGGAGAGAGTGGCATCTCCGGAAAATTGTTTTTCCGAGATAATACGCCAGTACTTAGTGCTCTTTGTAGCTCCAAGCAGTCCTGCCAGCACCTTGACAGCCAAAGGCAATCCGTGGACTTTAGCAACAATCACCCTCCCAATCTGCTCCAGTTCATCACTGGAATCATGTGTGCTCCAGCCCCCAAAAGCATATCGGTGGAACAAGGACCAACAATCTTCGATGCCCAGTGGATTCAGGTGGTAGGTGTGAGATGCACCGAGCATGTCAGCAACCTTTGGTGTTCGGGTGGTCACAATAATTCTGCTCCCACTTTGGGCAGATTTAAGAGGAATGAGGAGTTCTTGCCATGTATCTTGGGCCACATCCCACACATCATCGAGAACAAGCAGGACTCTCTTGGATGCCAGAAGTTGAGTGAGTTGCGACTGAAGAGCTCCGAAGGTGGCATCTTTGTCAATGGATCCACGGTAGGCTGGGCTGGCCGAACGCAGTATCTGATTTGCTAGTTCCAGTCTGTCAGGCTTGGCGGAGACATGTGCCCATGCTGTAAGATCAAAGTGGCCCTTAACCCCGATGTGGTCGTAGACCGACTGGGCGAGCGTGGTCTTGCCCAAACCGCCGAAGCCAACAATGGAGATTATCTTGCAGCCAGTGGTGTGGGATGGCATCGGCTCTGTCAGCATTTGCACGATGTCATTGAGCTCCCTGCTGCGGCCAAACACCTTGTTGTCCTGAGGCGCCGCATCCGAGACGGCAAGCGGCAGACTGGATCCTTGGAATTGGTTGAGCAGAGTGGCCAGAGTGGCCAGAGTGGTTGCGACGGAATCCAGATCCTTGAGGAACCACCGGGAGCGGGACGCCCCATCGCTGCTGCTGCTGCTGCTGCTGCTAAGGAATCGCCTGCCCAGCCTGAGGGCAGAAGTGAGGGGATTGCTGACCTTTGGATTTGTATTTGGGGAGGCTTCGAGGTGGAAGGCGAGCCTGTGGTACTCCATCTCATCGATCAGATCGTCGATGCCGTAGAAGGACTCCGCCGCCGCCGGAGAGCTCCTCCCGTCGTCGACGCCCCAGAGCAGTTCGCGGATCTGCTCCAGCTGGGTCGCCACCTCCCGCAGCTTGCCGCCCCCGGCGCCGGCGACCATGAGACGCTTGGCCTGCTTCTCACCGAAGGAGTTGAACTGCTCCACGGCGCGCGCCATGGCCCGGAAAGCCACCTCCAACGGGAGATCCATGGAGAGGACGGCCGCCGGCACCGGCCGATCGATCGACGGAAACACAAGGGACCTCGGCATCGGCGGATCCATCGATGGATGTCTTGCTGCCTGGGGTGGGAGGGAGAAGGGTATGCAGCAGTGTGAACGCGCGTATGGTGCGGTGTGAACACAGGCCACCACCAGCAAGGGCAGTGGCCAGAGTCTGCCTAGGTCAGTAGGTCTCAGTCGGCTTGCGTCATTTTTTTTCGTTTAGGTCCAGCCCATGTCCCCGCCATTGTCTCTTCTGGCTTTTTGGGCTGGCCCCTTTTTTTGTCTTTGCTTTGTGCCTTTTCGAGTTGTGTTGGGCCAGATGTTTTGGGCAGTTTTTTTGTTCGGTGCTGCTGCTCCTTTTCGAGTATTGTTCGAGTAGCCATAAAAAAAAAGAGTATTGTTCGAGTATACTACCAGCTGTGTGGTTTGTCTCAAAAACAAACAAAAAAATCTGTGCGATGCACCCGCCAGTTATATGAGCTGCCGTTCCTACAATTTTCTTAACATTTTTTTCTGTCGTTTTGTCCAGTTTTCTTTTTCATTTTCGTATTTTGTTTCTAAAAAATGTAAGCATTAGTCAATATTCTTTTTTAAATGTGTTCATGCATTTTTATAAATATTCGTCATTTATTTCAAAAATATTTAACATGCCAATAGAAAATGTTCAGTATTATTTAAAAATATTCATTATGCAATTTACTATCAAAAGTAAGTGATTTTATTGACCCTGTTATAAGTCGTTTGGGATGAAGTGTTGGTTTCCCAAACATTCTGGCAAGTTGATGTGGCGCGAATCCTTGCGATTCTGTTGCCTGAAAATACAGTCGGGCCCTCATGGAATTCATCAATATGAGGGACGATCTGGAGATTAAGCTGTCCTGCCAAGGTTTAAAAATTTCTCTGGCGAACTTTGTTAGGATCGCTACCATGTCAGGTGACTTTGGCTAACAGACATATAAAAGTCACTGGGTAATGTCCTACATGCGGTATAGGAGCAAAGGATACCAAACACATGTTATTCACTTGTGCAAAAGCTAAAGAGGTACTGTATGGCGGTTACAAGGTTTGGACTTTGCTATTGATAAAGCATGTGTTGTGGATCATGTGGGAGAAGTTGTGCTAGAATATTTATTGCTACAACCAGCTGAAGAATGTGTGGTCCTCGATCTGAAAATTCAACAGAAGCAATTGCTATTGGTTCCTGGTATTTATGGTGGGAGAGGAGAAAGTTAGTGCATAAGAAAAGGTCCAGGAACCTGAGTTCATAGCAATGGCAATCACAGCTTTGGTTGCTAACTATATTATGAGGAGCGATGCGAAGACAACGATCAACCGACATGACTAGGAAAGACCAACGAGAAACTATGTGAGACTAAACATGGATGAGGCTTTTGAACCAGACTTACTAAGGGCTCGTATGACGTTGTCATCAGAGATTCGAATGGCAGATTCGTCGTGGCAGAAAACGGGGAAATCGATTGGTGCGGAGATGCGCTTATGGCTCTCAATTTGGCAACTACAGTCGGGTGTAACCGCATAGAGGTGAACTCCAACAACATCGAGATGATAGAGACAATGAAGAATGGAAGTTGCTCTTTCGGTCTATCAGCGGCAATTTTTTATGACATATATCACCTTGCATGTGATTTCCCGCATATCATTTTTTGGCATGCTGAGAGACTAATTGTGCTGCCCATGATTTAGCCAAACTAGTTAAAAGTAGGTATGTGTGGGGTGGATGGAAGATTCAGGTGTTGTTTGGATGACAACAAATAGACGTGAGATTTTGGAAAACCGGTTTTTAGAGGATTTTTAGCAAAACCAGTTTTTGTTACTTTTTCTGTTAACTAGCAAAAATGCCTGTGCGTTGCGACGGGAGAAAATTCCAGTTCTTATGAACCACGGTTGGCTGAACTATGTCTCAAGGCAAAGATCACTGATGACAAAAAAGTATCATTTGAGGATCATGACGTAAAGTTTCGGACATGGGGTATGATTACGAGTAAATTGATCTGATTGACAAAGTTTTTTAATGGAAAAACTTTCATCTATTTATCAACCATCATGGCGGAATAAATATCATCCGAAGTAATAAAGGCTAATTAATTGTGTGCATTGCAACCGGATAAAAATTCATCGCACTTCAACACTCCTAATCAAATTATTGAAGTTTCTCTAAGGAAATAATAAGTATAGTAAAGTACCCCTAACATGAAGAAGAAATCTTTCAAGATGACCATCTTTGCAAAAATTCTAACAAATA